TTTCTCGGCGGCCGCCGTGCCCCCGCCGCCCGCCATGAATTTACCTCAGCAGCAGCCCCCGCCGCCCGCGGCGCCGCAGCAGCCGCAGAGCCGGAGGTCGCCAGTCAGCCCGCAGCTCCAGCAGCAGCACCAGGCGGCGGCCGCCGCCTTCCTGCAGCAGAGGAACTCCTACAACCACCACCAGGTAACGGCGCACGGCTGGCGGCCCGGTTGCGTCGCGGGGCCGGGGAGACCGCGGGCGGGGTGGCTGGAGACCGGGCTCGGCCCGAGCGGCTCCCAGGAGCCGCGGCGAGGGCCGCTCCCCCGAGGGAGTGGGGCGCGGAGGGCGGTGAAGGGCCACGGGACTCGGGCCACCGGCCGCCGGCGGGGCGGGAGGGCTGTGGCCACCGTGGGCTGTGAGGCTCCGGAGGCGGGCCCGGCTGGAAGTGGTCCCGGCCGGGCGCCCCCTCGAACGCCCCGGCGCGGCTCTGGGGGCTGGGGCCGGAGCGGAATGGCGCCGGGACCGGGGCGGCGGGCGTCCGGGCGCGACGTCCCCTCGGGTCCCGCGGAGCGAGCGACCCCAGGATTCCGCCGGCGCCCCACTGCGAGGCGAGGCGGCCGGGGTTCGGGGACCGAGGGACCGGCGGGCAAGGGCGGTGGCCTCGGGTCGAGCGGCTGTGGGAAGCGAACTGGGGAAGGAGGAGAAGGATTACCGGCGGCGACGCGTGTGGGCAGCCCGTGAGCCTCCGCCGCCGTCCAGTGAGGGAACGGGCGGAACGGCCTTTTTGCTTTGGGGTTTCTTTCCTCCTGAATTGGCCGAAGGGAGCCGTCGCGGGCGAGGCGGTGACCGCCCGCACCGCTTAACCCGGCGGGACCCGCGTCGGCGAGCGGCCGCCCGGCAGCACTCCTCCCGCCGACCTGCCTCCCTCCCGGCGCGGGTCGGGCCCCGAGCTGTCAGATGCTTGAGGAGATAGATAGATGCTCCAAGGTCGTTTCACTTTCTGTGCCTTTCAAGGTTTGGGTATTATCTTGTAGGTTTTAAAACAAAATGAGACTGCGATTAGTGTGTTACCTTGAAGAGAAGACTTTTCTTTTTTCTTTTTCTTTTTCTTTTTTTTTTTTTGGTGGCCTTAACCTTCTCTTGAATGATAGGGTGTGTATATTTTAAGGGAGTAGTGTAACTATGAAATCACAACGCGCAGGTTATTCATCCGGGTCCTTTCTGAAATTCAAGGTCTGTGTTGTTATCCTGTCAGGACAACGTCTGAGGAGAGACCGCTGGGTTGGTTAGTTGACATTGAAAGAGTATTTTGTTGTTCTTTTTTTTTTTTTAAATTTAGTCAGCATTTATTAAAGTGCTTATTCTGTCTAAGGCCACTTCAGTGATTAAAGATTGAGAAGCAAAATTGGACCTTAACCTTAAGTATTAACTTAACTGATGTAACTTTTTCCATTGATCAGTTAGTTTTTAAGGATTAACCTTTTCAAGAGGTGACTACTATCTAAATTAGCCCGAGTAACAGTTAACAGTTTATTTAAATTAACCAAAATAACAGTTAATAGCTTTTGTTGAATCACTCCACTGGTTTCTCCCTGAGAAAAGAGAATGTGGCCTGTAAGAGTTGAAATTAGGTAATCTTGAAATAGTATGCCACTTTTCCATGATTTACCTGATCTTGAAGAACTATCTTTTGGATGTCAGTGTCTTTCTTTTTTAACTAGAAACTTGTCCCGGCTATTATCAATAGGTAAGTTTGTGTTCTTGAGGCCATGGACTATTATTAGAAGACTGTATACAGAGATCCATATTTAACTGTAATATGCTTTTTGTCAAAAAGAAGGGTCTCACAATGGAGTGTAAAAGGTCACCCAGCTATTAAATGGAATTTTAGATCACTGCAAGAGAAGTTTGAGCACTGTGTCCATGAGGAAAGTAAGGCCCTCAAGAATGAGGGATTTGTCCATGGACCCTTAGCTATGCTTTTGAAGTATGTAGAGGGGGGAAAGGGTAGTATATATTTATGGTTATATTAGCATTAAAAATTTTTTTTAAAACAGGTACTATAGACCAGGTTTACCAAAAAATAGATTTAAGAGTGCTTGACTTAACAGTAACTTATTAACTTATATAGTAACTCCATGACCCATACTCCCTTTGGCTTAATGTTAGCACAAAATTATTATAAGCTTATTGACAATATAATTGCTAGCAATTAATACTCTTCAAAATCTACAGTTATAGCCTCTTGGAGAATTTTTCATTCTTTGATGACTTAACTTGTCTTGCCATTGGTTCTGTTTTGGAATAGAATTTATTTTTGAAAATGGATGACATTAATGGAGACTTGTATTATTAAGATCTCTACTAGAACGATCAAAGTATATAGTTATCTTAGTGTATCTGCCTATGGATAATAGCAGATAATAGTTTCTTGGATAGTTAAGTGAAATAACAACTACAGAAATTTCAAAGAAAGTACTTTAAAACTGGAATAAAATTTTTTAAAAGTTGAATAAACAGTGCAAAAAAAAGAGACATTTCTTGTATTTTCTCTATCCCCCAAAGGCATTTTTATTCCATGCAATAGAATAAAGCCAAATGTTATTAACCACTTTTACAGTGATACAACTTGTTCAGAAACCTAAAGTCTAAATATTTCACTCATATGATTGGTGTATTTTAATTAATAAAACCCTATTTCTAGTGGTATGCTTAGCAGAATATGATTGCGTAAAGATCATAGTGTAAGTTATATCTTTAAGGATCTTCAAAGTTAATTTCAATTTTTATCTTTAGCTTTTTCTTCATATCTGTCATGTATATGGCTCTCTCTGAAGGGGAGAAAAAGTAATTGCATGGTTCTATTTTAGTAATCGTCGTGAAATATCTACTTGATTCATTATATTTATGTAGACGGGAGCGCGAAAAGTCACCCAGCATTAAGTGAATATGTTTTCATAGACAAGAGCTCGTCTATTAAATGCTTATTTTTTAAAAGATTATATAAATTCTTAACTCGGGCCTAAGTTTGGATTTCAATTCTAAACTCTTTAAATGCCTGTAATTTAAATAGATTTATTTTCCCCAGCCTCTTCTGAAACAATCTCCTTGGAGCAACCATCAAAGCAGTGGCTGGGGCACTGGAAGTATGTCCTGGGGAGCGATGCATGGCAGAGATCATCGTAGAACTGGAAACATGGGAATTCCAGGAACTATGAATCAGATATCTCCATTGAAGAAACCGTTTTCTGGTAATGTCATAGCACCACCGAAATTCACTCGCTCTACTCCATCACTGACTCCAAAATCTTGGATTGAAGATAATGTGTTCAGAACTGACAACAATAGTAATACACTCTTACCCTTACAGGTAAGAATGGTGTGTAAATGGCCTTGTTTCTAATGTTAATCTTTCAATATAGGAAATTGGGTGGTGGTAGTAGTCAAAGTATGATAAAGTTCATGGATTAAAATGAGAAAGCTCTAATGTTTAAGTGTCTGATTTAACTATCACAGGATGAAATACCTATACAGAGAAAATGAGACTTAAAAAAAAAATTCTCTAAACACATAATAGAAAATAAGCTTCATAAAGTGTAGAAAAACCCAGCTATATTTCTTAAATTCACATTGAAGCTTTTTAATTGGCAGCTCCTTGAGAATGCCTTAATTTATTAATCTTTAATAGGCCACCAAAATGAGTTTCTCCTCCAATATAGCTGAACTAAAATATTTAGTAATTGTTCACGAATTTGACTATGATCAGCTGTATGTATATTTAAATATAGTTAGTGCAGCTCTGATCGAGGCAAAATAATATTAGGGTGTTTTACATTGAATTCAAATTTGTTCACTGACAGTGACTTTTTCTAAATGTGGCCTAATATTTATGATGATTAGACATGTTTTCAGACCTTTAATATTTTGTTGATATTTTAAGTTAATGAAGTCCCCTTATATTATCTAAAATGAGAATATCTTTCCTTTAACACTGTTAGAGGATGGAACAAAGATACAAGATAGAACCTTTGATTGTTTTTTTTTTCTTTTCATTCTTTGTTCCTTTTCTTTTTCTTTTTCTTTTTTTTTTTTTTTGTGGGTGGGTATGGGGAAGAGAACTGCTTGTTTCTGATGAAAACTTCTATGCTATTGAAGGTGAGATCTAGTTTGCAGTTGCCAGCTTGGGGCTCAGATTCACTCCAAGATAGTTGGTGCACTGCAGCCGGAACATCCAGAATAGACCAGGTAGGCTGCACAGTGTGTACGTACCAGGATTTTGGCTAGGGGTTTAGTATTTGTATTGTGAGTAGGATTTAGTATGTACTTTTCAATTATACTTGTTTAAGCATATGTCAGAAAGCATGAAAGCAATGTATTTTTAAAGGATTCACTTAAATTATTTAAAGTGTTTCATTTTTAAATTTGAAAGTAACTCATAATCTTTTTACATTTCCTGAACGTAATTGATTTGTTTTTGGAAAAAGGAATCATATACCCAAGTGCACCTGACTTTAAACATCAGTCAAACTGAACACCTTTTATTTCTTTTCAGAATCATTTAAACTGAACATATTTTATGTTTTCTCAGAATCATTTGCAGTTAGGTATAAAATCATATGATTGTTTAACATCTAATCGTACATTTCATAAATGTTTTATAGAATTTTTTGGCACACTGTTTCATGAAACATGCTGTATTTGTCTTGATATATGCTTCTAAGAAAACCCTTAGTTTTTCACCTTTATAAAAAAAGTTTATGGTATTTCTCTAAATTTTGTTAGTGCTATGAAATACACTTATCTTTTCCCAAATAATCAGTTCCTTATAGAAAAGAAACTGAGTCAAACATCTGAGAGTCAAGTCTTGATCGAATTGCCTTCAAGTCCTTTATGGTTACAGAATGCTATCTCTCTTCCTGCAGATGAAATTTGAATGCGAACTGGGTACAGGTGATGAGAATTGTTTGCAGGACAAGTAGGACACTCAGTCCTCACAAAAGAGGATTCTTTATTACAGAGCCCAAGTGTGAATGACCATAGACTTGACTCTGGGGGGGTCCAGTGAATGGAGCTCTGTTATCCGTAGTTACTTTATCAACATGAAATGATTTTACAAGTAAGGACTCTATAAACAGATTAATATTACATTTGAAAATACCTTTCTAACCTGTAGGGTTGGCAGTAACTTCAGTAATCAGCCATTAGCACTTGTTTTAAATAAGTCCTCCTATTTACCAAGGTAGTCCTGCCAGGATCTCCAGTTAGAAATAAGTACATATCTCATGTAATTTGTAATTTATTATCTTGTTAATGTTGCAGTGTAATCCATCTATTTCTACTCTCCTCTCTTCTCTGGCACAGTTAAGCTATATTAGTGACATTTTCAAGTAATGGTGTTCACATTAAATACCTAAATGCCTATGAGATGGTGTGCTAGAAGAGAAAAACTGGTAATTATTTTGAAGGTGTCAACTGACATGTTTTTAGACAAGAAAGGACATAATTATGTGAAGAGGTTGTACCAGGAGGAAGCAAGAGGATATGTGAGCGAGATGTGTATCTGTGGAGGAAAAAGAAGACAAAGATGTCAGTGAGGATCCATGGGGCTTTGGGGGGCAGATGTCGAGAGATTAGGTTATTAAGATGGCTTCAGTGGGTAGAAAAATGCTGCGGTAGATAGAGGTTATAATGAAAGGGAAATTTTCAAACTGGGCTCTGCAGAGGTGCCCATGAGACTCCCACATGATGAGAGTCTATGTCAGCCCTCCCATTCAGCTTCTCTGCTCCTATCTATGCCCTTAGGATTCAAGGTAAATTCACTTTAAGAAAAAGGATGTTGATGCGTAAGGATAATTTTTTTTAATTTTTATTTTTTGGTAAATTGTTGAGATATTGGCAATTCCTATGGTTCCTGCGCCCGAGATATGAGGATGAAGTTGAAGAGAATGGTGAAGAAAAAGATAGTGGAAAGTGAACTGACCTAGAAGAAAAGGAGATCTGAAACCTGAATCATCTTCCTCTCATGAGTTTTTTGACATTGGATGACACAGTTTATGGGCTTTCATCTCTTTGGGTCATAGTCTCCCTATCTGTAAGAGAAATGTCTAGAACTAGATCCTGTAAGGCCTTTGTAGCCAGCTCTTGTGCTTTCTTTCATCTACTGTGGCCATGTCTTTTGCTCCCTGCTTCCTAATCCCCCCTCCTTTATTTTTAGAATACAAGGGTCTTGCTTTATTTGGGGGGCAGGGGTAGCAATGGGCATTGGTCCCAGGCAGTGGTGGTACCCTATGACATCCCACCTGGCCTTAAAAGCAGTGTTGTTTTTCTTTGAGTACCCTAAGGGTACTTATTATACAAAATTTGTTCAGGGTTTCTGTCTTTCCATAAAAGGTTGAGGTATTTGAAGTTGAGGTTCTTAGAAATACAGCAGCAGCTACAAACTGCAGTTGGTATCTTAAACGGTTGGGTAGTTCCTCACTATTTTGCAAAGTTAAAATTATAGAAAATACTTAGACACTTAAATACCTGGGGAGATTATTTTCATTGCTAATCTTTTTTCATCATATACAATATTTTTATACTAATGCATTTTAGTTAACAAATACATTATTTAAAAACATTAACTTTAACTTTTAAAATTTCCTTAAGTCTCAAATTGATTTAAGTCTAAAATGTAGTAAACTGTAGAACTGAAGTCTTAATTCTTGTACCTGGCCTAACCTATACCAACAATGGAACGTGTAATTGAATTTAGTAAATGGAAAAGAAATAGTTTTGTACGTTGGTTTTATTTCAGTTGTATGTAAAATTTTCACATTGGCATTTCCTTATTTAAAATACCCCCTTTAAGTTTTTTTAATCAAAAAACTTCAGATTAAAAACTTTTTAAAAACAAATATAAATTGTTATGTTCATTTCTGAGTTTAAAATGAATGTACTTTTATTAGTTTCTTTAAGGCTAAATATAATACTACTTTTGTTTAAAATGCTATTTGCTACTCTTGCTAATATGCTAAGTCATACTCAAAAGTATAAATTCTAAGTTACCTTCAACTTGAATTTTCAGGCAGATAAACAGGCTACAGTATATTTATTCATTAATACTGGAATATTTTCAATGGAGAGTAAATATACTAGGAGCTGTTATTACTTAGTTTATATATGGTATATCAGTTTTCTGTAAACAAACCAACACCATGCCTTTAAAACTGTATTATAGCCTGTAAAGTCTGTGAGAGTTGGCCTGCTCTTTAGCTGAGTGTGTGTGTGTGTGTGTGTGTGTGTGTGTTTTCCAGCTCTAGACTTGGGGTCTTATAGATGTTCTCCCTGCAATTCCTGGGAATGTACATAAACTACCTTGACTTAACTGAAGATATTTTTTGCTGATCTTTAATATCCAGGCTATTATGATAAATGTGATAATCTGGGGACCTCTGAGAAAAATACATTCTTTGGAGACTTTATTCACATTATACAAGAAACAAGGCCAAGTCCAAGTTTTCATTTAGTGAAACTTTCCTTAAATTGTGATTCTTAAACTAGATGAGTTATAGGGACATTGGTAGTTGTGAAACTACCTACTGAAAATAAGGTAGGATGGGATCTCTTATTATCTGTGCTTATATAATGAATCCTTTGTATGTTTCCTATCTGTGTTCAGTTCTTTACTTGTACTTGATACATTCTTACACCAGGTATTTTTTTACTTACCTTTCCATTTTATTTAACCATTGTGGATACTAAATTAGCTTTGGCTATTTGAGGCTTGATTCCACCCCCACCCCCCACCCCCCACCAAATCACTGTTACAGCTCTTTGTTGAGGATTAGAATAATAAAGGAAGGTCAAGAAATGTATATTCATTGTATGTGCAGTAGTACTTTACCCTGGAGATATGTCCGGGGAGATACTGTTCTTTGCTTTTGAGAAGATGAAAGTCCAGTAGGATGAATAAGGGATATCTCTGTGGGGAGCAACCAGAGACTTGGGTGGGAGCATATGAGGTGGAGAGCTGCATTGCGTACTGAGGCAGAGCAGCACAGTACCTGCTGCTCGGCCAGTAAAGTGCAGTAGCAGAGTGTAATCAGGAGAACTAAGCACAGAAATACAACAAAAGCTGATCTTTCTACTTAGGCAGAAGAATATATGCCCAAGCCATCTGATATAACTTTAAATATGATGTTACAGAGTTTTCTATGGGCTTCTCTGGTGGCTCAGAAGGTAAAGAGCCTGTCTGCAATGCTGGAGACCCAGGTTCAACCCCTGGATTGGAAAGATCCCCGCAAGAGGGCATGGCAACCCACTCCAGGATTCTTGCCTGGAGAAGCCCATGGACAGAGGAGCCTGGTGGACTTTCTGTAATCTGCCTCTTTTTTCATGGGGAGAATACATCATTGTCAAAAGGAAAAGCTTCTACTTACCCACTTCTTTTGAAATAAATAGGGTTTTGATTATGTCAAAGCAAAAATACAACATCCCATAAAAAAGTTCCCATTTAACCAAGTTCTAGTTCCTTTTGTTGTATTTTAATATCACTGTTGACCTCATTAGTTACCTTTCAGTGTTTATAATCTTTCCCAGGTCATCCTTTTTAAAATTAGAATGCCTTTGTTCTTTCTGTGTTTTTCAGTCTTTCTAGGAGTTCGTTGTTGCTTCCATAAGACTTTGTGGCAAATGTCTGTATTTAAAGACTAGCAAACTATTAGAATATAAGAGATAGTAGTTTTTTTTTTTACCATTGTGTTCTAATTTTTGCCTGTTCATTGTTGTAGGATACTGTAATCTCAGTTTCTGAAAGCCCATTTAGTTGGTTCTTTGCCACATAGCTTTCATATTTCTGCAGTATATTTGGATAAACTTTTTCTGGTAGATTCTTACTTTTGTGAAATGTATTGGCTGTTTTTAAATAACCATGTAGTAATAAATATAGATTACATTGCTGTGATTCCCCATCTTTTTATGATAATCAGTATTCCTGTGTTCATGGTAACTTTAAAATGGGTTCAGGATTTCCATTTAGCTTTTGAACCAATGGGAGTTTACATGAACACAATTTGTTCTAATGTCCCTATTCCTGAAGAATGCATGAGTATTTGACTTGTAATCAGATATGTTTCTGGTTTTTTTTTTCCCAGAAGTTATATTTTAATCCCCACACTTTACTTAATGGAATTATCTGTATTTTTTTTTTTTAATGTGAATAACCTCCAGGTTCCATTACCCAGAAAGTAACTTTTGCGAGGTCATGAGCTCTTTGCCTGCTCAAGGCTATTTTGTATTTGGTGATTTAAAAATCATGTGGGCTGCAGCTGATGCTTAATAAAGTATAACTAAGTTAATAGTTTTAAAATAGCTTGCTGTTTTCTTTGCTGAAATAGGAGTTTGTTTCATGATGAAAGACTTGATATGCAAAGGAAAATAAGGGACTTTATAAGTGGGCATCTCACTGTTTCAGTTGGATATAGGCATTAAAGCTAAAGCTGCTAATCCATGTGGCTTTTTTTTATTTTAAAAATAAAAGAGTTGCCAGAGTTGATACATTTATTGAATAACTTGCTTATATATTTTCTCTTCATACCTTAAATATTATCCATGGCCCGTTGACGGTATGTATAGGATTCTGCATTAATTCTGTTGTGCTGTAAAGCAAGTTCATACTCCTTGGAATGGAAGTAGAGGCTGGCCAAATAAATACATAAACAAAAGTTGTATGGGAAATTCAAATTTGGGTGGTGTTAGTCACCATTACGGAGAAGGCAATGGCACCCCACTCCAGTACTCTTGCCTGGAAAATTCAGAGGAGCCTGGTGGGCTGCAGTCCATGGGGTCGCGAAGAGTTGGACACGACTGAGTGACTTCACTTTCACTTTTCACTTTCCTGCATTGGAGAAGGAAATGGCAACCCACTCCAATGTTCTTGCCTGGAGAATCCCAGGGATGGGGGAGCCTGATGGGTTGACATCTGTGGGGTCGCACAGAGTTGGTCACGACTGAAGTGACTTAGCAGCAGCAGTCACCATTAATTAAGTTCATAGGTTGGCTAAAGACAGGGCATGGTCTAATTCTGTTCAGAAAACATAAGCCTGAGAAAATTAGCCCTGAACCATAATACATTTCTTTGTAAGAATTTAAGATCAGTAGACTATAAAGTATCTATGTTGTATTCCATCTTAGAACCCTTTGATACAGCATACTTTTTAAAAGATTTGTTTGTTTGTTTAATTACATGAACAATTTTTGTCATGACAGTTTACTTTTTAAATTCTATATTTTAAATACATTTTGGAACTTTGAATATAATATTTAATCTTTCATTGTGTAGTTGGAAATTCTCAAGTCGACAGCAAGGTCACATTATTACCTGATACATGTCTCAGTTTAGTTACTTAACGTTTTGAGTACCTAGTCCATGGAGGATTCTCAGAAGATTTGCAGTCCTTTGTAATTATTACCTAAAAGTGCAGTCTTTGCCCTCACTGAGCTCAACTTAAACTTTTGCAAAGTTTTTATGGTAAAAATAAAGTACTGTTCATTCAACAAACATTTGAGAGATAGCTATATTCCATAATTAGCAGTTCCCTACCCCTGATTAACTTAGAAATTCATTGACAGAGGCAGGAAAGCCAACAAATTAGTTATGAACTCATACAGTAGAAGCACAAAAGATGGACTTATTTGAATAGATTACAAAAATTGCATGTCATTTCTGCCTGAGTTTTTCTGTATTCCAGTTTTATTTATTACATACTACTGTGAGTCTTTTGCTTTTCCATTATTTCTATTATTTTTAAAGTGGACTTTAGAGATCATCTAGTTTGATGCGATTATTTTATTTTCTCAAAGATGGAACAAAGCCTGAAAAGGTTAAGTAGCTTCAGGTTAAGAAGCGCAATGCTTCTAAAAGTGTGGTCTTTGGACCAGCGGTCTCGGGATCAGCTGGGTACTTAACTGGAAATAAAATTCTCAGAGGCCACTCCAGACCTATTGAATCAGTTGATGAGTCCCACCAACTTGTTTGTCTGACAGGCCTTCCACATGTTTCTGAAGCATGCTTAGTGTGAGAGTGGCTGTTAAAGCGACTGTGCCTCCATCCCCAGTCAAGGCCACTGTTCTAGGGAACACCTATTACTGGTGAGTGTGTTACATCTCAGGAGTCTAAGTAAAGCTAAGTGAGGGGCGCTAACGCAGGTAGTGATGGAGCTCCAGCAGGATCCTCCAGGTCTAGTATTCTTTCCATCATTCACTGCTGCTTTGCGCAGTTTCAAATTCTCTGACAGTGACTTGTTTAGTCTGCAGTGGTGATCTGCCCGCCCCCTCCTTCCCCGTCTCTGCAAAAAAAAAAAAAAAAGCCTGCAACCCTCATTGAAACACCAGAGGAGAATTTAAAAAGTCTACATACTCTCAGAAAAGCTTCTTATGTATTTCCTCGGCTTTCTAAAAGAGTGGTTCTGGATCTTCTCTGGATTGTGGACTCCTTTGGAAAACTAAGGAAAGCCATAAACCTTTTCAGGAAACAATCACATATACATGTCCATACAGAGCATTACATCATCTCACAGATGGCATGGTCCTTGAAGCTCAGGGACCTTGGTTAAGCCTCATTCTGATTTCTGTGGAGACTTGTTTCCCCCAACTTTTCTGGTTCTTCCTTTTTCTGTGTTCATCATTCTTTGAGAGTTTGGAAGTGACCTGCCTGCTCAACCTTCCCCTCATCTACATACAATGCATAAGCACCAGCTAGGGTACACACTTAAACCTGAATGAGTGGGATTAACATGGACATAATTTGGGAACAGACTGCTTGGCAATTCGGGGGCACAGGCCAGGGCTTGCTGTAGTGGCTCCCTGTGTATGTTTGTTCAAGTTTATTGAATGTATTTTGAACAGAATACAATATAAATTCATGAGCATTACAGAATCAGATTCCTTCTAGTAAGCAAGTTGAGGGGTTTGACATTCAGCAAACAAAATTTCCAACTACACAGAAGACTTTGTTCTAAGACTTGATGATATAGGAAATTTGCTGCGGTGAAAATCCTTTCACCTTTTTCTCCCCTGTTTCATTTGTTGCAACAGTGGGTAGAGGGGAGATGAGATTTGGAAGTGCAGAGATCAATATGTTATGATTATTCTTGATGTTTGTCTTTGTTCTGAAATTGGTATTTCATGCTTTTAATTTTTACTGTTAAAGATGCTTATGCATTCTTTATTATGAAATTCTGACTATTAGATAGCATACAATGTTTGATGTTTAAAGTATGGTGCATTATGGAGCCTTTTCACCCCAAATATTTATTTTTCAAGGGCCAGTGTCCAAATTCCTATATATATGTGAAAAGTTTAAAAGCTAAATAACAACTAAAAATGCTTTCTGTGTGTATAAGATTTCAGAAATATTTATAAGTTGAGACTGATAACAACAGAAATTGTTTTTATTGTATTGCATTAATACTGCTGATTAAATAAGATACTTTTGATATGTGATTTTGGAGATAAATGTATGAAATCTGTTGTTCTCCAGTACAAGAAATATTAAGCTCAAGAGATCCTTAGCTATTGATATTGTCTTGGGTTGCAAACTGACTAGTAATATTATATTAGTCAAATGTCCTAATTTATGTAAGAGATAGTACATTAATCATCACTTTTTGAAACAATTGTGTAGACTATATTCTTTTTTTTTCCTTCTTCTCTTCCAGGATCGAAGTAGAATGTATGACAGTTTGAATATGCACTCTCTGGAAAATTCCCTCATTGATATTATGAGAGCAGAGCATGATCCTCTTAAGGGTAGGTGACTTTTTTATTTTCTTATGTCGTCCAGCATTTTGTCTGCTTACCTTACCATTTCTCATATGAAAATGAGCACTAAGTAACACCTGTCTCATCTATAAAATTCTAAATTTGTTAACAAGAATCTTTATTTTTATGAAAGATCATATTTTTACCTTGGTAGCTGCTTTAACTTTATGCTGATTTATAGACAAAGATGGAAAAACCTAAATCTCTTGACTTGTTATTTAAGAAAAAGCCACTTTTTAGAGATAACTCAGTTCACCCAAGGATGAAGAATGGCTCTGAAGGCATTATAGTCACTATTCAAGAATTCTTTCAAATACAGAAATATTAAAAAAGAAAAAAAACTTTTTTGGAATACTTGCATTTGCAGTTTGCAGTAATTCCAGCCTAAAATTGTCATAAGTTAACTTCCTTTCTCATTTTCCTTCCTGCTGTCATGTTGTAGGAATTTGAAAGGGTTTTGAGGTAGAGAAGCTATTCATAAAAGTTAGGGCAAATTAGGTAAAAGAATCAGCGCACGTAAGGTTATACTGTCAGCCTTATCACAGTTACAGTTAATTGTAACTGAAGAAATTGTGTTAACAAACTTGTTTTCATTTGTCTGCATGTTACATGTTAATGATTATATTTATTCCTACAAAATATATTCTTACCTTTTATATTAATGATGAGAATCTAGCAAACTGTGGTGAACTTGAGTCATGAGAAGTACTAGTGTCTGTTGCTGCATAATGAATAGTCCCCAAACTTAGCAGCTTCAGACAACAATAAACATTTATTACCTTACACAGTTTCTGTGGGCCAGGCAGGAATCAGGGACACTTTAACTGGTTGGTTCTGGCTCAGGGTCTTTCAAACCGTTCTCTTTTTAATTCTGTAAAGCCGAGGATTCCCTTGTAAGAGTCAGCCTAAAAACTCTGGAACTCAAGAGTTGGCAGCAAGGCGATGGCTCTGGCTGAGCTGGCAGTACTGACCAGCTATCTCAACACTTTTTGTTCTGCCTCTGGGTTTTGCTTGTAAAGTAGTTTCTTATCTTTCTGTTTCCTTTGTTGGTGAGGACTTTGAGAAGCTCAGGGGATTTTGGTAATTGTCGATGATGTGTAACGATGCTAATTCTCCTCAAACTAATTAAGATAGTTTTACTTTGATTATTATTTTTTTTTTGAGGGAAATTGCCTCTAACCAAATTCAGCCTATTTTTTTGAGTATTTGAGGTCTTGTTTTGTTTTTTTTCTTTTTAGCCCAGTTACTCCAACAGTTCCAGGGACATTTTCCCTGGATCCACTGTTCAAGAATAGAACCTGGCAAGCAGCTTATGATTATGAAGACCTTCCCTCTGTTGATTTCCTTGCCTTCTATAGAAAGAAAATGCTTAGAAATTCTAATACTGATAAAGTCAATATTAACTGTAACCAGTGGATAATTAAAACTTTTTTTCATCATTGTTTCTCCCAGTCTTCCTTAAAGAAGCCCTTTGACTATGTTAAGAGAAAACATTGATTATATATTCACTATTAATTATCCCAGTTTTTCTGTTTTTCTAGCCTATTTTATAATAAAAGTGGAAGGGAAAAGACTTTGAAAGACTAGAAAGAAGACTTTGAAAAAGAAAACAAGCAGTATGAGGCTAAAAGGAATTTAATATCAATAATTGAAATACTCAAATGAATTCAGAATTCTTCTGTTAGGGGAAAAAAAAGGCTCATTAACCACCTTTAGGAATCATGGTAACACATCTCTGTTTCTAATTGGAACATTTTATGTTCCACATTTTTTATGACAGGGAATAGAGAAGAAAACAAAAGAAAGCATTTGAGAATGCTTCTCCATAGAACTGAGAAATAAGACTGGTACTTTTGCCAAATTGCTGTCATATGCCTTTCTAAAATTGGAGCTTCCCAGATGGCCCTAGTGGTAAAGAACTCACCTGCCAATGCAGGAGATGGAAGAGACGCAGGTTCTATCCTGGGTCAGGAAGAGCCCTTGGAGGAGGGAATGGCCACCCACTCCAGCATTCTTGCCTGGAGAATCGCATGGACAGAGGAGCCTGGTGGGCTGCTGTCCATGAAATTGCGGAGTTGAGTACAACTGAAGCGACTTAGCACGCCCACACACATGCATCTTTCTAAGATTATCTTGATATCCAAGTGCTGTCACCTAGTTTTTTCTTTTATTACTAGTACAAATTTTCTCACCTCCTGGAATTTGTCATCCTGGGTATCTTACCCCCACACACTGATCATTACACATTTTCTTGGGGCTGGGCCTCAGTAAAAATGTAGGAAAGCAAGGTTGTGACATACAGAAGAAACCAATCCCTGAATTTATTTCACCTCCTTTCCGTTCCTGATCTTTAGGGCATCATTTCAACCTCTGTCCCATCTCTCGTATCTCATCTTTTCATCACCTTCAGAAAGTTCTGTTCTCTACTTAGCATATGAAAATTCTTTTCTCTAAAAAAGCAGAATGAATCTTATTTTATCCTTCTAAAATATTTTTCAATAACCCAACCAGTTGCTATGTCTTCCTTATGGAATCTAATGAACAGAGAGGTGAGACTTGTGGGGTAAATGAAAAACTGAAAGTAAAAATGAATTTCTTATTTCCCTTTGTGTAAGTGGTGACAGTTTCTTGAAAATTTTCTATGCAAACTTGAGTGGCAGAAGATTGTATTAGTTATACACTGTTGCATAAAAAATTACTCCCAAATTTAGTAGCCTGAAGCTGAATGAACCTTTATTATCACCTGCAGTTTCTGTGGTTTAGAACTCGGAAGCTCTTTAGTAGGTTAGTTCTGGCGAGGATCTTAGGAGGTAGCAGTCAGGAGAGCCATGAGGCGGCAGTCATCTGAAGGTCTGATTAAGGCAGGGGGATCCTTTTCCAAGATGACTTACTTATGTGGCTGGCAAGTTCGCACAGGCTGTTGGCAGGAGAACACAGTTAGAGCAAATGATAAAGCTCGAAGCAGGTGCCCCAGTGTTTTCTAGGGTTTAACTTCAGTAGTCTCATGCCATCATTTCCATGACAGCATACTAGCCATGTAGATCACCCTGCTCAGCTCGGCAGAGTCTGTTGCCCAAGAGCTGTGAGTCCTGGGAGGCAAAGAGCAGCAGAGGCAGTCATGGAGGCTGCCTTCCACAGAGATGAAAGGCAGAAACAAAATTTGCATTGGGTTCTGCTGTTATAAAGGAAAAGAAAAACTGCTTCAGGCAAGAGTTTTATGTTGGTAGACAGAAAAGCAATCTGGCAGCCCTCTGGAATCCAAAAAAGTCCATGGCCAGTTACTGGCATGACTGTTGACTGATTAGACTGACGGAAGGACCCTCCTGCCCCCACTTTAGCCCAGAATGCAAGCCTGGTAGTTTTTACAGGTCAGTAGAGAACCTCCATTGTTTACTATTAAGGTCTTTCTAGTCTAGCATGGCAGGGGGAATGGTCTTGTCATGGTTCTGAGGATGTGAAGTGATGACAGCCATAGGTGAAACCCTGGATGCATTCTATTCCAGAAAGTGCTTACTTCTGTACTACGCAGTATCCAAGAGCCCACTATGTGTTATATGAAACAGACATGGTCTCTGTTCTTGTGGAATGTACAGCCGAAGAGGAAGAGAGACCTTCTAGTTACATGTGTGATATGCATAGATACATATAACACATTAATATAACATAATATAAACATACAGTAGGGTTTCCCAGGTGGCACAGTGGTGAAGAACAATCCGCCTGCCAATGCAGGAGACATTGGAAACTCGGATTTGATCCCTGGATAGGGAAGATCCCTTGGAGGAGGAAATGGCAACCCACTCCAGTATTCTTGCCTGGGAAATCCCATGGACAGAGGAACCTGGTGGGCTCGATTATGTACACATATAACAGTAAGGATTAGAATACTATAGAGGGGAGGCTATGAAGTGTTTGGAGGTAATAAGTGGAGGTACCTAAGGTAGATGTGGAGCAGGTTGTGTTCAAGAGCTTGTCATAACTGAGGAACTGACAGCAGACTTGTCCTGGCAAAGCGTTTTCGGGCTGCCTGACGGTGACTGGGTGTGACGCTGCTCAGCCAGCCCTCTGAGGGTGGGGGGAGGCTTTTGCTCTGGACTGTGAACACTAACACACTGTTTATGCTTTCTGTAGTACGAATGGCACTGGCGGGTCTGTCTTATTGATTCTGCAGTGACTTCTCACCATGAACATCCATTTTCTGGTGACTGTCTTGATTTGTGACAAATACTTTCCTTTTCATAGGAAGGACAATTATGAATTCTTTTAATGGTTAAAGTAAATCATGCTTTGCCAAGTAAAGTTTTGTGATTTTGCAATTTTGTGTTTGCATACCTATGTTAAATAATCTGTGATCTTTTTTCTGTATGTGTGGGTCAATTCATTCCCCTTTAAACAAAAGAACAAGTCAGTGATTATTGTTAATCTCTATCCCCTCTCTGCCCTCAGCAGTTTACAAAAAAGGTCTTACTGTGTAAGCATTTTTACCCCAAATTGCCTACCCCTCCTCCAAATCATAAGGGCAAACAAAAAATTTACGCACATAAAAGATTATTTGAGAACAGCAGGAAGAAATGTAGTTTATTTAGCAGTCTTAGGAGGTTCTGTGTCAGCAAGTCACAATGCCTTTGCTAATGTTCTCTGAACTATTGGAATTCAAGAAAAAGGATTTAGAGCATGATTTTTCAATATTGACATATTTTTAGAAGTGGATGCCTTTAAAATGTTTTTATTTACTGTGCTTTTGTATATCGTAGCATCATTTTTATCACTTGATTGCTAAAGTCCTGAAGAAAAAAAATCTCTGCTTATTTTAAGGAAAATAATCCTTGAGGAAATAAGGCATGACTTCTATAAATGCCAAGTGGTCCTGGTGGTATCAACTAAATTCTTGCCTCTTTTCAAGACGTTTCTTTTCCCTCTGATATTCTCCTCACTTGCCTTAGTATACAGTGGAAGTTGTTGCTTAGTTACTAAGGCCTACCCCACTC